TTATTCACAGTACTCCTTTATACTATTACATTGGTCAGAACTATGTTGGCCCTCTGTTCTCCTTTCTCTCTTTCAGCTAGAAAGGAAATGTCAGTAGACGAATAGTATTCTAAGTGGGAACAAGCACTGGAAATAAATGGGGTCTGGGGAGCAGTGTTACTTGTTTTGTTTTCTTTTTGAATTCTTACCTTGTAATACTTTGTCCCTGATTCATTCTGAAACAGCGTAAGACATTTACTATCCAGTCTCCAGTAATGTCTTTTTCTCTGCAACAAACACAGAAACATTTATAATTTATAAACAGCTACTGTAATTCTCTAGTTAAATCAATCTCAGAGATGTCAGCGGCTTTTGCTTTCTGTTCCTGCTTAGAATCTTTAAAAGTCTCCCAACTGTGCTCTCACATATTGTACTCTTTTAAATACAAAACACTCAGTCCTACACTGCTAGGCCTAGGATCAGAAATTGGGGCATAAGGATCTAACAGCACCTCCTATCCCAGGGCACAACTTCTGCTCCACAATCCTCAGTTTTTTGAAAATGCCTTTCTGTGACACAGCAGGGCCATTATACAGTTCAAGGGACCTGAGAAAGTAGGAAGAGGAAGACAAAATAGTGATCCCATTTTTTACCTGCTCCTCAGAGGCTACAACTGAAGCAATTCAGGCTCTCAGATTCTCCCACCACCTGGGACCAGCCTGAAGCATCAGGCAGAGGAAACCACCTCTCCCCTTCCTGCCTTGCAACCCTTCATCCCTTGTCAACAGTGGAAAATGAGTAAGGGACACAACCAGTCCCCAAACATGAAGAAAGCCAAGTCGCCTGCCCATGTGCTGTTTGGCACCACCCACAGCTCTGACCTGATTCAACGGGCAGAGTTCTAGCTTATTTAAGATCCTTATGATGGCTGTGGTCCTTCTCTCCACAGCAGACAGAAATCAGTAAGCGCACAGGGATCTTTTGTTCTTTTCACAGTTTCTTACACATGCAAAACTGGCTTGCCTAAACAATGCTTAACAAGATATTTTAACATCCAAATTCATATTTTAAAGTGTGTCAAAACAATTCACACTAGAAAGCAGGGAGTTTAAATGACCGACCAGGTTGTCTCTGCTAGTGTAGTGAACCATCCATCCTTCTTTCACCATTGTACTGCTCTTCCTCTTTGTATGCTTGACTGATTGCACAACTCTCATTAATGGAATATTATTGCTTGTCGATGGACTGTTGAGGAAAAGAATGACCCATTGTTACATATACATATCATATCAAATTATAGTGTTGTACTTCATCTTGCCTATAAATTCTACCTCAATAGCTATTTCTATGTAGGTTACATCTGTGGTGGGCATTCAGATGACAGGATGATTCTTTTTTTAAAACAATCACCTGCCCACCTGAGGATCAGGCACAGACATGCTACCATACAAAGGGGATAAAGTACAGAGTGCCTCGGAGACTGTGCAACGTTGCAAAAGTTGCAAGGGCATTCTTATTAGATCTTGTTCAACAGGTCCCAGCAATGCCCAAGCTGCTACATAGGGTATTGCACAACATAGCAAGGTGTCCCCTGAATACCTGCTTGGCCACAGGCTTCCATTTACTCTTTGCAGTCAGTTTGTGCTAGAGCATACAAAAGCCACTGCAAACAACCACTCAGGATGTTTGTGCTTTCTGGACAGGTGATTTCAGAGAGGTGGTTCTGTTAAGTCCAATTCATTATGTATAAAAAGAATGTAAATCAAAGTATTATGGCTCATAAAAGACTACTGTATTTATTTCAGTGTGAACTCTTATACACTTCCTCAAACAAGTGGAGTGCAGTATTCAGCCACAAATCTACATACTCATATTAAATATTCTGTTCATTTTAACCTTTTGTTCTTGTATCTCACCTTGCCCTAACCTCTCCCAACTGCTTCCTTCACCTTTATACTACACTGCTTGATGCTGCATTCTCTCTCTTTTCCTATAACAGCAATCACACTCCATCCACAATGGCCATTCCACTATTTAACTCAGGCATCTCTCCTTTGCAAGACAGCACTTGATGCTATAAAGTCCTATCTTACATGATTTCCTATAGAATAGGTGCTCAGATTCCTACATCCTAATGAGGAGAAGACAGCCATGGGCTAAGAAAGATGGTTCAATCAGATCTTGCACTCTGGTTTCCACTGGTTCACACCAAACCCTGACTATATATGATTTGAAGTATACAGTAGTGAGGGAAATATTATTTCACTAGCATATTTACTGATCCGAGTGCCTTTACAATCTGCTCTTTCATCTTCACAATGTCCCTGGAAAAATCAGTGTTTGTTATTCCCATTTCATAGGATGGAACTCTGGCAAAGAGATCCCTTTCTCCAGTATACGAGACTATGGTTGAGCATCAAATCAAGTTCAGTGCATTAATCCCATAAATTAGAACAGCTCTCCTCTTTTTAAACAATGATACAAGTGTAATCTAAATAATTTTTACCCTAATCAGTACATAAGAGAGAGCATAAATGACCCTTTCAGACATCAGATACAAAATTGCTTCCTTCAGCTGAATTTACAGCTAACACATACATAAGGAGCTACATTGATTCCTTACATAACTCCATTTAATCAACTGACTCGCAACAGAATGAGTGCAGCCTTAGATCAGGAGTCCTATAAATCTAGGTCAGCTGAGCATTTTCCATCAGCAATTCTGCACAGCCAACCATTCTTCAATAATGTAATTTAGTTCCATGTTGATTTTTATATGGGATTATTGTACTTCTGAAAAAAATTCAATCTTGTATTCATCTGCATATATAAATTCTGTTAATTCAGCTGTTGGTTTGTTTTATTTTGGCTCAAGTGTGGAAAACTGCATTGTAAAATAACTGAACTGTTGAGTGGGGCTGGGAAACAGAAGAATTCATTCCAGATTGCATAGGAAAGTGTCTTCAAGACATGGAAGCATTGTGCAAGATCCCAAACCAAAATCTTTATTCCACAAACCTGATTGTTTTGATAGCCTCTTCGTCTTTATCCCCATCTAGATCTCCTGGATCCATAAAAAACATTTTGTCTTCTGGAGGAGACGGTTCTTCCACATCGTCCAAGCCCCTACCGCCATCGCTGTTCATTTCACTGCTGTCTACTTCCATTGGCATATCAATATCTTGACCTGGACTAGCCGGCTCTTATTCCAAAACAATAAAGATTAGCAGACATGTCAGGACAATAGCAAAATCTTTGAATCAAAAAACGCAAGAAAGAGATCAATTTACTAACAATATGAATTAGGAATGGATTGCAGACTTTAGTTCAATTATATCAGAATTAAAGAAATTCAGATAAGCACAATCAAAAAAGAAGAGAACAAGCAGGAACATTTGGGCTAATATTTTGTTTTGCTAAGGCTACTTTATGCTATGTAGGTACTTCCTGACACAGGGCAAATCTCCATCAACGGAAAGTTGGCATATGCAACATTCTTCCATCTGCTGTGCCAGCTGACTCTCTATCCTCTGATGCAAGAACATCATGACCAGACCTTTCCAGGAAAGGGTTTGGACAGGATGGGAATCTGAGAACAGTACTCCCTTTACACCTGGGTTTGTTACTAATGCAAATCAAATCTCATTTCCTGCAGCCTCTGACACAGCAGGATGGCCAAGGAGAGGCAGCCAGAAATCTCCCAACCCATCCCAATGCACACACACAGAGGCACACAAGAATTTTCCTACATTCTTACACACACACACACACACACAGAGAAACAATCCCATATCTTTAGAGTGCCATTGGATCAAAGATATAAGGAAAGAAAGCTTTATGCTGTCATTTGGTTTGTTTTAGAAAAGAAGGTTCTTACACATAAAAAAGCAGGATGTGTATATTGCCTTACAAAAATAACACAGATGGATACCAAAAATGAAAACAGAGGTGTCAAATAAAGAAGCAACCTTCCTATATGCCACATAAATTACTAACCCAGCATCATAGCTAGGTGTAGAGTTACAAACTTTATTTTTACAAATAGATGCATTTTCTTGTGACTTCCTAGTTGGCTCAATATCATTCCAGTATAGATTCTGGAACTTATTTCATGAGCAAAACAGCTCTCTCTCATTTCTGCAGGGTGGGGGTGTTGTTACAAATTATAAATGAAGAGTTGCTTATAATGTATTCCTTAAATTAAGGAATGAGGCAAATTAAGTTAAATTACAACTGCAAAGTAAAAAAGCAATATCTTAACTCTTCCTGTGATATGTTATATCAAATGTAGTATCAAAAACATAATTATATGTTGTTGTTGCTGCTGCTAGTACTGCCACTTGCGGTTACTGTTATTTTTATAATTATGGGAGATGACCTGACTTCAGGTGTGTTTTTTACCACTAGCCATGGAATTCTGATGGGTTTAAAGTAAGTGCAATATTTAGTTACTGTTAAATAACAAATTAAAGTTGCATGTAACAAATTATAACCATAGTAGGAACTAACTACTTTTTGGAGTAGAGCTTTGCACTATAACTGACACTGATGAGTTAAAATTGTACTAGTGGAAAAATAACAATGACCTAAGGCAGTGTTGTTTTTACATCTTTTCAGCTGCAAAATCTAGTGCAATGGTAGAAATCACACTGAATGTGGGCCACATGTGCCTTCCAGGCCACTGTTACAGCCCCAGACTCAACTACCATACCCACTACAAAACATTCTTGACAGAAAAAGTGAGTAACTACTATTGGAAACTTCAAAAAATTACAACTTTTAAACTTTTAAACAAGTTGCATATCCTCAATCTCTTTTAATATATTTTTAAAAAATCTTACCAAACTAGAAATGGACTTCTGATCACTTCTGTTTGTTTTGCTTTGTTTTTTAACTTAGGGTTGCTATTTTCTAGTTCTTGCCAGAGGTTGCCCACAGCTGGTCTAGAATTATCTTAGCAATGGCTAGCCAGCTCAGAATAACATATGTCAATAGTTTTCTAATGCTGCCAGGGGAAATTATCCTGTACGGTCAGCCAAAGTGACCAGACCTGCATTTGATTTCAGTCAAGTCTGGAAGCAGTTTGAGCCAGACTTTTTAATTATGAACAATTTAAGAACATTGATGACAAAACACATAGCAAAAATTAATAGCAATGGTATTTCTGTCTCTCCCTCATATACATGTCTCAGGGCAACATTACTGTACATTACAAAAATGAGAAAGGCATTTGTACTAACAGTTCATGCTGAAGACTCAGAAATTGCTAGAACCACATATTTCATTGCTGATACATTCCCAAAGGTCCTTCACCATTCACTCTTACCTCCATTGAACACTACTTCTCCAAGGCAATCTTTAGGGACTTTCGAGGCACAACGTTTGTGACAGTTAAATCTGCAATCTATAGGGAGAAAACAATGTTATTAAGGCACTGGCCTTTGGGTTCTCATATCCCCACCCTTGTAAGACAATGTTAGACATAGCTCAGTGCAGGAACGAATAAGTGACTACTCCCACCAGTTCTAATCATTGGGCAGGCTAGCTGAGGTTTCTGGAAATCTGAGTTCTCTGTCATTTGGGAAGCCATAGCCTTAGCATGGACTAACTTTTACAAAGGTAAAAAACCAGGGGTAGCTTTTAACTAGGATTTGAGAGCTGTTCCCTAACCATAAGAAGCATGGATTCAGATATTAATGTTATAGAATTATTGAGAGAAAGAAAAATAAGGACGTTTACACAGACCAAGAAAGGAGTGATGGAAGAATAACATGGTTAAATAATTGACCACACTGTATCTCTACTAGACTCCGATTACTTTCAAGACTTGTCACATTATTAGCCCTCGCCTTATATTTAAGCAGTTGCCTGGTAGCCATAAGTAACAAGGAACTAACTATAGGCTAGCAAGCAGAGAGTATTACACACTCCTGGCACATAATCCTCCTCTGCTAAACCCTTGCAGGGCAGTAAACTTTCTTGTGGACTTGTTTCCACAGATTTGGTCCCTCTGCCACCCTGACCTCCACACTGAATTAACTGTCATACCTCCAAATGTCAAATCATGCAGTTCTCTGTACAAATACAAAGAGCCATTTTGACATATGGCAGATCAACATCAACATCATAGATACATTAAATTGAAAGCAGAATTCCTATAAGCAAAGTTCTGCTCACCAGATGTTTCCACAAGGGAAAAGAGGAAATGGCAACTTTCTCCAATTACCCCCTTTCTCTCCTGACAAACTATTCAGAAGGGTTAGGGGCCACCCCTGGAAGAGCATGGAAGGTGACCATTGAGCTGCAGAAGAGGAGGAGAAAAATCCCATTCCTCCACTAGTGAGCTTTAATGGATTTCCACCCTTTTTCGAAACTGAAAGTACACTTCCATTCAAGTGAGGAACATTCCAAGCCCAAACCTGCAGCAGCACCTATATAATGGTTGGATATACTTTTTTTATTGCTGTATTTTTCTGTATATATAACTATCATCTGCTTATGCAAATTTTTAATATCTGTCTACACAGATTTTATGTCAACCCTGCTTGTCTGAGCAAAGACACCTTCACATCTGACCACTGCTATGCTTTAGAAAAGAATGCTCTCCAGTTTATTTTACACTGTTCTGAAAATAAGACTTTGTGATGGGCTCAGACTTCCATGGTCAGGAAGGCTCTGTTCACAGACGGTGACTCTGCCCGATTTTCAGGGATTCTCATTACTGCCACTCTGACCATGCAGTCTATTCATGTACCATTTTCGCATGGCTAAAAGGGCTAACTCAGGTAAGATATAGTGGAGGAATCCACCACAGCACACTTAGTTGCACCTTTTTTTTGTTTTTTTATTATTATTATTATTATATTACTACTACTACTACTACTACTACTACTACTACTACTACTACTACTACTACTACTACTACTCTTTAGGGTGTAAGACCACTATGAAATAAAAACACCACCAATAAAATCCATTTAACATTTTCAGATAACTAAACACTTTACTTATAAAATATTAGAGATGGGGGTCATCCCTATAAAATAGTAAATACAGAGCACCACATGCTTGTGAAAGGAGAAAAATGTGAGGCAGACAGCCTGTTGTCCAAGGCAGCCAAGCCATGCCACCACGTTGCATCACAGTTGCCATTAGAAGCTTAGGAAAGTGAATGAATAGGCTAGATCTCAACTAAGATCTGTACTGTGTAATATACTTTACACATTCTTTAAAGGCTCCAGTAAGAGTATGAAATAAATGTTTACAGTGGACAGAATCCTGCTCAGAAACACAGAGCATAACAGCTTTGCAGGAAGAGCGTTCTTTGCAGTTTCAAAATTGCAAGCCAATAATAATGCACTGGACAGCAATGGGGCTTTCATGTGCACAAGGGGGTTGTGAATACCCTTGCTCAAACTGTAAAGAAAGGACAACCCCATGCACAATGAATGGGCCATGGACAGATGAACAGAAGCTGCTCAGTACTTTCAAAGGCATGATGTAATAAATGCTTTCTTTACCAGTACTCTGCAGAGCAGATACAGATACACAGAGGCCATCCTGGTGGCCAAATCAATGTGACCCCACCACATCTGCATCACATGCACCAATAAAGAAGTCACTCTCTAAATGCCATTCTTTATGTATAGAATATGGTACATTTGTGCAGAAGAGACATAGCACACCACAAATAAGCCTCAAGATTTGTAGCAGGAACCTTATGAGGCCAGCAAACAACTAACCAAAGGCAGCAGGAAGCACTCCAAAGCTGAGAGCTCAAAGAGTTGTTCCAAAAAGGGTGTATGCTGGAAAACAGTACAGTAGAAATAAAAGGCAAGTGTCCTAGAAAAAGGGATCCTCAGCATGAGGACTTTGCAATCCAGATCCCAGTTACAATATTTATTTATTTATTTATTTGTTTGTTTGTTTATTTATCTATCTATCTATCTATTTACTTACTTACTTACTTACTTACTTACTGACTGACTGACTGACGGACTGACTGACTGACTGATTGATTGATTGATTGATTGGATTTATATCCCGCCCATCTGGTATATTCTACCACTCTGGGCAGCTTACAACATATCATAAAGAATTAAAAAACATAAAACATTGGCATACAACAGTAACAAATAGTGCAGGAATATACGTAATAAATAATAAATAGCAAAGCAAAAAAAATCAGAAGTTGACAGGAGGGAAGGCCTGGGTGTACATCCATGTTTTCAGCTGGCGTTTGAAAGTACCCAGCATAGGGGCCTCGCGAATCTCCAGAGGGAGGTTGCTCCAAAGGCGAGGAGCCACCGCCGAGAAGGCCCGGCTTCGTGTCTTTTCCCTACGGGCCTCCCTCAGCATCAGGCTCCTTAGCCTCACCTCCTGACTCGTGTGGGTGATCCAAGTAGATCTTGGTGGGAGCAGGCGCTCCACCAAGTACTGAGGTCCTAAACCGTTTAGGGCCTTATAGATGAGCATTAGAACTTTGAAGTCAATGCAGAAACGGATGGATATACTAATAGCTAACTGACTTGTCCCATGTCTAACCACAGGTGATGACAGACAGCCATCCAAAGCCAAGGCAAGAGTTTTTGTGTCCCCTCAAGTATGCATGTGTTTTGCAGTCACCATTTGCAAACTTGGAAAGAAAGAAAGAAAGAAGGAAGGAAGGAAGGAAGGGAAAAAACAAGCACCGCTTAAGCAGAATATAAAAACAAGAGCTCATCGTTTGGAGTGCTTGTTTTTGAGACTTCAGCTTAAGCTTTGGTTTTGTGGCTGGGAATATTTTCAGAGTTACTCATAGATGATATTAAGGCTGCTACTCTGGAAAATGAAATTCCTACCTTTGCACTGCATTCCTTGGCGAAAGAGGCCTTTAAGCAGCCTTTTGCAGTACTGGCATATGGTGGGGCGAGTGTAAGAATGAACAGCAAAGGTATGTGGAACTTTCACCCGGCAGAGCACCATTTTTTCCATCCATATAGGGCGCCCACTCCAGGAAGGAATCCTCTTACTAGGCTCTGGATTATAACGCTGAAAAGAAAGTCAAGGCTTCAATCTCTGAATACAGAGAAAAGGTAATTCTAGTACAAAATGAACTACATTTACCTGGTGAACTCAAGGCATGACTAAACCTGACAACAACCCTTAATGGCAAGTGATTTGCTCATTTAAAAAAATAATAATTAAAATGTCTCAACAAAAAAAATCAAAACAAATCAAATCAAAAGGAAACACACTGTACAGCTTTTTTGAGGGGCAGGAAAGGGGGAAAGTGAAATCCAAGGTTGCATGAGCAGAAGGCATGCTTGCATAATGGATTATATCAAGATAGGCTTTCCAACATGCTCATAAAATGATCATCCACAGTGCCAAAAAGAGATTCTTGCCATGTATTGGTAACTGTAGAAATTACAGGGCTTTTCTGCAAATCTAGCATCTCTGAAAACAATCAGAAACAATCTCTTGTACTTACTTCTTCATATGTTCAAATTACCTTTATATGCTAATTCCAATATTTTATAGAAATGTAATTCAAAATAAACACAATACAACGTTCAGGGAAATGTTCTGGGAGTGAATGCCAAGTAGAAGGATATTTGAGCTGGAATTCAGCAGTCTGAACACAAACAATGAACTCCTGAATATCCACATATTCAAAAAATTGAAGTATATCCTTTGATTCCTCCCTATAGTTTATGCAATTCGATTCTATGTAAGTATTTTTTTTATTCAAAGGTATATTAGATACCTCCTCTGCAGCTGTTGCTGTGTATTCAGTTTGCACTGGTCGTGGGACTGAAAGTGCTGCTCCTGGCAGTGACACATTAGATAAACGCCTCTTCCTCACTCCACTGCAGTTGTTTGGGATCTTGAAGGCGCATCGCTTATGATAGTTTAATCCACATCCTTACAAAATACATATCAGGGATGTGAGAACAAGAAGATTTCAAAACCTATTAATCATGTCATATATTTAAATGAAATTGAGAGACAGCTGAGTTTCAGTTTACATTTTCAGAAAATATGGTGAAGCTATCCCTGACAGTTTAGATTTTAATCCCCACCTACAACACTGCACTGATCATGTCATTAACAGCAGATCTCTAAAATGCATGGAATTTTTTTGGCCTCAGTATTTGCTTTTTTGACCCTGCTTCACCCTGGCTAAAGTCTGCAAACAGGGCCTGTTATGCAATTCATGTTGCTGCTGATCTTCTTCAGCCTGCTTTTCCCTGGCAGACTATCTAAACAATGTACTCTGGGCTCTTTCAGAACCACAGGCATTGAGCAGGAGCCAAAGGGCAAAAAGTGTTGGGTTACTAATACCTGGACAACAGCTTGTTGACAGGAGGATTGGCGAGGGCACGGCAGCCAAGTGAAAACTTGGAACTTGCTTCAGAAATTATTAAAAGGCAAGGCAAGGATAGGGAGCCTTTCACTAATTCACACATCTTCCCAAAACATTTGTACCAGCTTGTCTGCTTGTAGCATGGTCATCATGCAACTCAGATCTGAACCCTCTACATCTCAACATCCCCATAAAACATACAGCACTTCATTTGTCACAGGAGGAATAGATGTTGTGGGCAATACAGTACTCATAATATTTTTCCCAAAGTTAAAAACTACTAGGCAGTACCTTATTGTCCCACATAAACACTGTTGCAGGCAAAATATGGGTTTTAAGAGCTTGAACAAAGAACAATATGGTGCCAACATCTGTGAAAGGATGCCCCACTGGAAGATCTCTTGACTTGTACTACAGCAAACCAGAGACTATGGGAGCAATGCTTACAGTAAACGGGCACTGGCTACTTTGTTTTCTTGACAATTTACAGCTCTATCTATTAGATCTACTATATATATAAATATATAAATATTGGTTCTTTGGAACTTTATGTATGGACACATTATACAGTTACTCGCCATCTTACCTTCACATTTCAACCCCTGCCGTACTAAGCCCCAAAGCATCTCTCCACAATAGTCACAAAAAGTGGGGGCCTTGTAAGAATGCACATAAAGCATGTGAGGGCGAATCTGGAAGTCTTCAACTGTAGCTAAAGCTATATTTAAAAAAAGGAAAGTGGTTTAAAAAAGGAATCCCTGTTCCTTTCCCATAATGTTTCTAAGTATTGATTGAAATAATTCTTAATACTAATGATAGCTTCAGTAGAAATATTATCTTGTGTAACTCAAAGTGGGTATGCTCAAATGACAGGAGACACAAAATAAAGTGAAAAACATATCTGCATACACATGTTCTCAACAGCTGTTTTTGAATATGAGCAACATGAGTACAGAGAACTGTACTTTATGCTGGCTTAAATCCAGCATAAAATCAGTACCCAAAAAAAAGAGAGAGAGAAAGAGAGGCAAACTGTCAGAGTTCCATTGATTTTTGTAGCTGAACATAATGGAGCACATTTGTTCTTCGGGTCCTTAAGCATATTATCACTTGCAGAACTGGATGCAGAATGAGTTATACAGGCTGTACAACTGAAAAATGTGTTGGGGGTCTATCCTTGCAAACTGAACATAGTTAGGTTTCCATTATCATAACATCACTTACGTTAGTAGTATGGCACAGTTAAATACATCTACTGATCACCTATTAAAATGAACCTAAAGATAAGGACAGTGGCCAGAATCCTACTGGAGTTTGCATAACTTGCCACAGCTAACTGCAGCTAACTGAAAAGGTCTCAGGACATGTCTCAGTTGTATGCCTGCTTATTTGTTTGTTTGTTTGTTTGTTTATTATTTGATTTATATCCCGCCTATCTGGACCACCAGACCACTTATACACCCAACTACGCAACCAAGATGCACCCCAGCAACTCATTAACCAGCAGCAGTTAGCTACAGCAGTTTATGCAAACATCAATAGGATTCCAGTCTATAAAATCAGCTACATAAATAAGAGCTCCCATACTTACAACAGTAGAAATATGTTCAATAAAATGTGTCAGATTTATGCAAGTGAAGTTTGATAAATATTTATAAACAATTTGCAAATTTCAACTAATTCACAGCAATGTTGCAGTTTTATGTGTAAGACCATCCGTACAAGCAGTAAGAGAGCCTCAATGAAAATCCATTCTCCTTACCAGATAGAACAACTTCAACAAGGTCACCTTCACGTATTTCTTCAGCTGACGTAATTCGTTGTAAAATATTTTCTGAATTCAGATCATGGCGGAACAGGAGAATTTTGTCATACATGCCAAAAAAACCACACTCTGGGAACTGCAACAATACAAGAAGAGTCCAAATTAGAATACACTCTGATTTTCGAGACTCTTCAACTGGTGGTATCAATATCTATAACTACTGTAAAAATATAAGAATTCCTTAAAATATACCAAACATATTACTACTTCATTTTCTGAAAAACTAGATTGTACTGGAAAAGATGTACTGCAAACTAAAAAACCTAGAACACAAATAATCTGAAGCTACAATATACAAACATTTATATACTATTTTCTCATTGGCCTTGATGGAAGCCTGACAATTCCACTGCTGATTTGTTAATCCACAAGATACCTTGTGGAACAGAAAAATATTTTAGATAGAAGAAAAAGATCTTACGTATATTGCTGCATTTTGAGTTCAGTGGTATGACCACAACAGTTTTGCGAAAAGGCAATCATGCTGATGAGCTGTTTTTGAATTATTATGGGTGGTCCTAACATTGTACTTTCACTGTGTTATAGCAAGACAGTCAGAAATTTGCTAAAGATCTGTAACTATAGTACTTTCAAAACTTCAGACCTGAACAACAAAATGCATCCATTGTATAGAGGGATCTGATCCACCCTGCCTTACAAAAGTTACACATTACCAATACTTTTCTGGATACTTCTGAACATGTATTTTGATATGGAAAACTGTAGAAAGAATCTTAATGCATCATTTCTTCCACATTTCAAACAGATCTGATGAAAATAAGTTGTATCTTATATGATTTCATCTAGAAGGCTCCATTATTCTTTTTGGTACCTACAATGGAGAAATTTCTACTGCACAAGTAAAACCCTCTATTCCATTTACAGAGGTTGCCAGAAAAAATTATTAAAAAGGTGTAATGCAGGATGGACCAGATCCCTTTGTACAGTGAAACTACATCTCTTACTCCACCTTCTATTCCATAGTTATTGCTTCATCATCTGTTGACATTTCCAATATCACAGGCATCACATTTTTGACTCCTTAATTTCCTGAGCATAACAACTTCAGCATAATGCAACTGTATCCAATGTTCATGGTGTCAAGGAAAGAGGAATAACCAAGAGAATTATGCTAATTTATCTAATTTATTCTGACGTAAAACACAGCCAATTCACACATCCTATTTGTTCATTTTAAAGAGGTGGCTCTGTCACCCATTGATTCCATTTATTTTAACAGAGCTACATGATGTTAATTGTGATTTGATCCAATTCCCTCCTTGCCATTTTGCTTCTCAAGTTATGCACATTTGAGAGCTGTTTGTTTGCAGTAGAGATGTGCATTCAGATTGAGAAATATTCAGAATTAACTGAAATAATACCATATTCAGATAGTTCCAAATGTATCTGAATGCAAATTTGATTGTTCCAAATATATGTAATAATAATTCTTAATAGTCAAAGTCCTATTATGGATTAGAAAGCAAAAGGCTGGGTTCCTGCTAGCTAGAGGAAGAAGTGAAAGTGAAACCCATTTCTCATGCACCCTATGCTCCCTGCCTGGCAGGATCAATACAATACTGTACACTGTTTCGCTCTGCAAGAAAAAATGAGTGTATAGCTCCAAGCTCTCCTTCTATGACCCCCCGAAAAAAGAAACTGATCTGATTCTATGCAAAATTAAACATTGATATACTCTGCTGAGTAGAATAGTCTATTCCCTCCTCCCCTCTTACCTGCACACTCAAAACTGCCATAAAAACAATCTATATCTAGGAAGTGGAGGTGGTTGGGGTGCCTTATTTTTCCTGACAGCAGTGGGTACTGTCAGGCAGAAGGAGAAGGATGTAAATGGCAGCCTTCTGGGATAAGGGAAGCAGTAATTCCTACTGGATTACATTTCTTGTAACATCCTCAGATCTTTCCTGCAGTTTGTGTTTCCTGCATCTTTTCTTTCATTCTCTTCCCTTTTGAGTTCTAGGATTCCTCTCTCCCACATTGTCCATAAAAGAATGGGGCTTTGTGAATATCCCTTCCAAGGGGTGGAGACTGGGCAGAGAATGGGACAGCGCAAGCTGGAAGGAGGGAGAGTGTTGGAGGAGGAAGGCAGGGGACATGTTGTGAAAACTCAATTCGAATTGCAGTCAAAGGAAAATTAAAACAGGTATGGAAGCTTGGAGTGGGCCATTCCAGACATACAGAGAAGGGGAATCACAGTTCTAACCCATATCAAACCAAGCCACACACTTAATGTGGATGAGCTCCATATTAGTTTTTATATTTGCAATACAGTACTGATACATGCTCCATATTAGTTTTTATATTTGCAATACTGATACACTATCAAAGATCAACAACAAACAGCAAATACGTGCTTCACTGGGGTTACGGAAACTTGCTCAGGAGAAAAAATATGCACCCAATCACATCAAGAGGAATTTCTGTGTCAAGGAATTATATGAAAGCAAATTTAATAATGGTGTCAAACAAAATAGTTACCAAAGACATTTTCATCTTACAGACCAACAAACAAAAAGTCCAGGTAATTGACTGGTAACATCTAAAGCCAATTTCCTCTGCACTTTATCTTTCACTGCCCTGTTATCTATCTATCTATCTATCTATCTATCTATCTATCTATCTATCTATCTATCTATCTATCTGTCTGTCTGTCTGTCTGTCTGTCTGTCTGTCTGTCTGTCTATGGCACTGACTAATTAATCCTTATCACTCTAACCATTCAGTTGTTAAATCCGTGTTGAACCAAAGAGCTATAAATGGCTAAAAGGGTATAAAATGCAGTCCTCTGCCCACAAGAAAATAACATAAAAAGTACAGTTCTGCACAAAGTTTAATTCACATGGCAAATGATAAAGAAGAACAGTAATAGTTTTGAGGCATGTCAAGCTGAAGGTCCCTCGTCTCTTTGCCATTTATAGCAAAGTATTCCTAGAATTCCACCACTTGACTTTGGACTTAATTCTTAACTTCTTGGTTGCTGTGTATTTGATTGTTTGAATAGGACGATTTATTTATTTATTCAGGTAAGGAAAATTTCTGAAGGGTGACCTTATCTGCACTCTGTCTGGCCTTAACAAGCATGCATATTTTGACGTGCAAAATGGTTTGCTCTTGCTCCAGAGCTGCCTGAAAACAAATGATGATGTAGGATTTGAAGAATGACAGATATTGCAAGGACTTTCTCACCAAGAATGAGAAAGACAACTGTGTTTAGAATAATAGAAAAGTGGAGTTGGAAGGGGTGTACAAGGCCATCAAGTCCAACTCCTGCTCAATGAAGGAATATAAACAAAGCATAACTGCCAGGTGATTATCTATTTTTTTTA